TTTTATTTTATTTTATTTTATTTTATTTTATTTTATTTTATTTTATTTTATTTTATTTTATTTTATTTTATTTTACTTTAATTTAATTTAATTTTATTTTATTTTATTTATTAATTTATTTATTATTTAATTATTCTTCCATTTATATATATATTATTATATATTATATTTAACAAATTTACCAATGATCTCTGCTATTTAACTGTGCATCTATCACATAATCTACGCACATGGAAATATCTTATTAGCCTTATAAGCCCTGCGGCAGCTGCGCCACTGCTAAGCATTTGTTGACAGAGCTCGCCCCTGTTCGAGCTGAGCTCTCGGCGATTTGCATTCATATTTATCAGGTTCATATGCTGCTGCTGGAGTGGTGGGCATAAAGCGCTTAAGGCCGACACCAATTAGCCACGCATTTGTAGGCAATTTGTTGTTGGCCCAGTTTTGTAGCGAGCGCCGAGCGGCTTTCAAGTGGGCGGGCGGCAACCCTCAGGTGAAATTGATTTAAATGTCTGCTCGCATAGCAAGAACAAGAGCAAAACTAATAAAAAATACAAATCTAAAGTGCGGCCTGTCGCTTGTCTGCCCGTCCGTTCGTCTGTCTATCTCATCTGCCCCGCCAGTCAAAGTTAAACCAGTGAAGCGTTAAAATTGCACACAGAGCAAAGTTAGATTGAAACAAATATGGCTAGATTCTGATCAAAAAAAGGCAAATGTGGGCGGGCCACATTTACTGTGTTTTTTTCTTTTCTTCTTTTTATCGGCAAATATTTTCGTAACATGCAAATTTGCGAAAATCAAGTGGCGCGGAGGGTGGAGTGAAGGCCCTAGCTAAATATAAACCCAACTTACGTCTTAAATCCCTGGGATCCTGAGAATTATTGCTGCGCGGACTTTCACCCTTTTCAACGGCATCGTAATCCTGTGATCCCTCCATGGATTCGTGTGACGTGCACGTGGGGCTGGCCGAATCCGTGCGAAACGATTCGTTGCCATTGAAAAGATTCTGAAGCAATAATAACAAACAAAAACAAAAACAAAAAACCAAATTCAATTTCAGTTATGACAACTGCCAATCTAAGCACGATTAGCAATGCTTCTGCCTCTCCCTCTCTCTCCCTCTCTCTCTCTCTCTCTGGCTCACCTGATCCAGGGATATGCCAATATACTTGGGCGGCGAGAAGGCCGACGGCAGCGAGAAATTCGACAGCACCGACGGCTTTCCCAGCGGCGAGCGCTCGCTGGCGAAATACCCGCCCGGAGCACCGGCCGCAGCAGCGGCGGCAGCTGCTCCATTGGCCGCCAGCATTCCATGGTTGAGCGTCTGCAGCAGATGCGGATGGAAGTTGTGTAGGAATTGGGTGCTATAGTTGCCGACTAGTGACATGTTGTGTAGATCTTTGGCGTCAGGTAACTGAAAGGAGAAGGAGAAGCAGGAGGCATTACGATTAGACGGCTGTGCGTAAGAGAAAGTTTCTGTGGCTTAAAGGGGAATGTAGTAAGAAATTTATGAAAATACATATTAAATAAAAAATATGGAATAAAAATATAAGAAGTGGTATAAATAAATATAAACAATATTTAATCAAATGAAAAAAATATGTAATAAATATACGTACAAGAAAATATAAATATGATCAAATATAAAATACATTTATAATAATAATCTGAAATAAATATAATATATAAATATAAATATATATATATATATATATATATATATATATATATATA